CTGGGATTAGGGACGTGTGCCACTATGTCCACCTGTTCCCTGATTTTCTAGTCATCTTGCTTGGTTTAAAGGTTATATTTATTTTGTAAAGAGAATGAAAAATTTCTCAGTGGAAGGAAACAAGTACATTTTCAGTCAGTATTAAGGTCAAATTCAAATCAACGTAGCATGAATTACATGCACATATCTAAATTAAAATGAGACTCATAGTGCAGGCCAAGGCACTACTTAAAAACGTAAATGATTCTAGGCTGTATACATCATCAATTTATTCTAGGCTATATACACTCAGTTCATTTGAAAAATGTTTGTTGAACACTTAGTATCTGGAAGGAATAAGAAAACAGTCCTGTCTTTGTGAGTTCACAGTCTGATAGATAGTAAATTAAAAACAGAAGCTATAATGTAATAGTAAGTACTATAATAAAGATGCAGAAGAAGTTCTGTTAGAGCCTAGGGAAAAAAGAGAGTAACTATGATGACAGGTATTCCAGACTAATTTCATCACAAGGAGGCCTCAAAATGTCTCTGCTGACAGATTTATGTCCTATCTAGGACACTGTTCTGTTATCTGCTACTGCTGTACAGCCCTACTAGTCACTACAGGGTATGATTGGATATCTGTATACAATAATCTTGGTATAGGGTTAGCATCTCTAATATGGAAATCCGAAATTCAAAATGTTCGGAAACCTGGAACATTTTGAGTGTCTACATGATATCATAAGTGGGCAATTCCAGTGCTAAAATGCAGGTGCATTAAAAGTATCCTTTAAAATAACCTTTATAGGGGCTGGAGAGATGGCTCAGCAGTTAAGAGCACTGGCTGCTCTTGCAGCCACATGGTGGCTAACAACTGTCAGTAACTCCAGTTCCAGGGGCATTTGGTGCCCTCTTCTGACCTACATTGCATGACATGGGTGTACTTACATACATGCAGGCACTATCTCATACACATAAAATAAAAATAATGAATAAATATATTAAAATTACTTTTAGGGTATATGTATAAGGTAAATATGAAACAAAAAAGAACTTTTTGTACAGACTTGGGTCCCATGTTCAAGATATCTCAGTACGTATATGCTGTTATATGCAAATAATGAATAATTGGAAATATCTGAAATACAGGAACATTATCCACCTGTAGCATTTAGCATAGTGCCTATAAATATGGAGCTGATACATCATTATTAAAAGATTAAAAGAATGTATCGGATATGCTTTTTATGGTGCATACAGAAATGTTCCTAAATCTAGAAAAACATCTGAAATGGGAAATATTTTGGGTCCCAAGCATTGTGGATAAATGAAATTAAACCTTTACTATACTGATTTCAACTTTTCTCATCCAATTCTGTAGTCAAAGGACACCCATATTATTAATCTGAATGAGGGAATGGGGTATTAAAATGAGAGGTTGAAAAATATTGGAGAAGTCTCCTGCATTGTGCCTGGGTGGTCACTGGAATGCCAGGAGGCAGACATCAGCCCACTTGACAACTAGTGAGGTGCTAGTGAGCCCTTTGGCATCAGAAACTTTATTCTACTTTTGCTCCTTAAGTAAATCTACATTGTGAGAGCATGCTGATTTATGGGAAAATAAACTTTCCTAAGTTTATGTCCTGTGGATAGGTTTGCAAAGCGTGGATGAAGGCTACGAATTTGGATAGGCAAGATGAGTAGCTAGGGGAAGGGAAGGCTTACAAAAAGATTATAATTCATGTTGCAGATGATGTTGCTGCTCTGCATGCCCTCAGAGCAGTTTTGAGAGCAGGAGACTGCCAGCTGGCAAGGCAAGAATGCTGTGTTCTCAGGTGCCCTCATCGACAGTTTTATGAGAATGCTGTTATAGGTGATGCGTCTAGTTGAGGATTGGTATTTTTTTCTGTAGTTTTTTTAAATGAAGGAAATAAAAAGGTTAAAAACTAAAGGCACGATTTGAGTTAGATGGCCACACTACACTGACTAGCTCCAGTGTAAATGAGAGTTGGAAGGCAGGAGGAAGAGTAAAGGAAGAAACACCTCAGTAGGAATTCAAAAAATCCAGGGAAATAAGGAAGGAATGAACAGCAACCTCAGATGAGTGCTTTTATATTTTATGAACATTTTGTGAAGCTGTACCTTCAATTTTCCTTTGTGAGAAAAGTGTGGAAAAATATACACGAGATTGTAGTGTTTTTTATTAGGATACAAAGATTTGTTCATGAAGGCTAAAGGATTCTGCAAGAATTCCAGATTGTTCTGTCAGGATATCAGAAATAATACCATGATAGATGAAACTTAAAGTCAATATAAGCAAGGTAATGCTGCAGAAGCCAAGATTTTCAATAACCATGTTTATACATTGTGACAGCTTATAAATTAAAAACCTAGCAACTCTTAAGAAATACATTTGGCCATCAATAGGGATAATATAATAGAGATGACTGTTCTATAAAAAGGGGAGTTTGGAGCAGATGCTATATTGACAATGAAAAGGAAAGTCATTTTGAAAATAGTATTCCATGACTACTTGGAGTGTGCATATGTCACACAATTTAAAAGTTGTTATAGACTGAACATTTTTTCCTTCTCAAATTCTTATGTTGAAATCATGGTGCTCAGTGTGATGGCCCTGGGGATGGGAATACAAGATCTGGGGGTTGATTAGGTCACAATAGCACAGTCCTAATGAATGGGATTAGTGCCCTCATAAAAGAGATCCCATCAACCTTTCCCATCCTCTCTGCTTTGTGAGGACACAGCAAGATGGCTATCTATGAACCAGGGACTGGGACCTCACCAGACAATGAATCTGTTGGCCTTGATTTGTATTCCTGGGCCTCCAGGACTGTGAGAAATAAACATTATTTTCGTTAAGCAAGTTAGTTTATGGTGTTTCTGTTATACCAGCTTGAATGAACTAAAATACTACAAAGGCAAGAACCAGAAGTAACTATATTATTATTGTATATTATTAGTGAGCTAGGTAAGTGTATAGCTGGAAAATATATTGACTATAAATTTAGGCTAATAAACTATCAATTTCCAACTCTGTATAATTCACTATTGTGGAATATTATTTAAAAGAGCCAAGACAAAATGTATATGCTGAACTGATTAGGGGGTTCACAAGGAACACAATTTTGAGAAAAGTTACAATGAGCTAAAAAGTTAAAATGCAAACAATTCAAAAGTATCTTGGGAAATGCACCGCTTTGAGAAATTTTTAAGAAGCCCAAGGGTAATTCTAGACCCCAAAGCAAAAATTGAGGCATTTCAACATAGTCACATATAATCCTGGACAGACTTCTCCCAGACTCTTTTTCCTTCTCTGTGTAGATGAGTGAACACATGGTTGTATAGATCCCTTCCAGCTATAAATTATTTTTTGTTAGAGACTAAATACAACCGTAAGTTGAAGACACATCTTCTTCTACCTTCTTCAATATTAAATAACGCAGCTTTGTGGCCTAGACACTATTTTCCACTCTACCTCTGACTCAGTGGATCACTTTGTTTATCCTAGGCAGAGGACACAGCTTCGGATTGTTGACCGTTTGAAGGAGCTGTGAACACTGGGCCACTACTTAGAGGCTATGTCTTCCTCTTTATTTTTTCAATGTATAGAGGGAAGATTATAGGCAAAGTAATTACCTAAGCCTGAGTTTGAAATATAATTATTACTTACTAGTGGATTGCACCAGTAAGTCCTTATCTGCAAAAATAGAGCTATTACCCACCTTGAAAAATGAGAGTATTATTTAGCATTCAGATCAATATAATATATTTTGAGAGTTTTGTTCTTTTTCTTCTTATTTTATAATTCGTCGGGGCCTAACTAGAAAAGAAAATGTATTTGATTACTTTTGAGAGTCTTAGACTATAGAAATCACTGCTGGCTTCCAATAAACCCTTCAGACAAAATTGAATGAAGCAAAGTCTCACAAAACCAGCCACTCTGACAGAGTTTGAATGCTAAGGGGATTTTAGGCAATAGGTACTAAGTCAACATACACCTCCAGGACTTCTTCTGCAGAACATTACAACCTATTATTTCTTTGCTTATTTGCAAGACTTCTAATATAGTAAGGGGGATTTAACCCCAATTTCAATATTCTGGCTTTGGAAGTCTGAATATAAAGACAATCAGTGTCTATTTTCAAGCCGAGAGGCCTGTCTCCTGTCGGGAAGGTTAGCCAGATTTGACCCTCCTGGAACTGGTGCTCAGTCCTCAGCTCCTCCAGGCTCTGAAGGCCTAGGGCATCCCTCCGTTCCCTTTTTTTTTTTCTTTTTCTCTGCGCTCCTACTCCCACCCCATCTGGCCACTTCTTTTTCATCTTCCTCCCATAAGTGGTCAAAATGGGAAACGGAAGTATCTATTTGTTGCTCGCTGTAGTGCTCAAAAAAGGTTTTTTAATTAAAAGGAGGGCTAAAAAATATCTCCTAACAAGGTTCTCCCCTGGTTGGAGTGCTGCCCCCGGGTCCTCTGGGAAGTCAAACGCCCCCACCAGCTTGTCGCGTGCTAGAGCCGGGAAGCCGGGGTCTGCGGCAGGCCTGGCCAGGGCTGGGGATCCGCACCCCGGTGAGGCGCGGCGGGGCTGCCCGGCCGGGGAAGCCCGTCCCGAGCGTGGCGGCGGCCGGAGGAGGCGGCGG